AAGTTGCTTCAGATGCCACATGTGGAGTTACAGGACATAATGTTAGCCCTGCTGGATTTTGGACTTGCTTTGGTCCCAATGCTCTGTGTCCCCCTGTTTGTACCTTTTGGAATGGTACTGCTTATTTTGTGCCACTGAATGTTGGAAGTGTTTAATTTTTCATTTGTACAGGGGCTCACAGCTAAGAGTTGCCTTACATTTTGGGGGAGACTTGGGACTTGGACTCTTTAGCAATGCTGAAACTGTTAGGACTTTGGCAACTCTTGCAGATGGACTAAATGCTGTTTGTATAAAGGGATGGGCATGAGTCTTTGGGGGGCCAGGGGTGGAATGTTATGGTTTGTCTGTGTGTCCCCACAAAGCCTCATGTGGCCATGGGGCAGGCTTTTAGAGTTGATTGAGGTGTGAGAGCTACACCCACCCTGGGGTGGAGAGTTTGCATATGTAAGGGAGAGGAAAAGGGTGCTTGAGGAAATTCCTCCCCCATTCTGCCCTGGTGTGTGCTTGTGGCTTAGCTGTGTTCTGCCACCATGAGCTGTAGCTCTTTGCCATGTGCCACTCTGCCTTATAACCTGCCAAGTATGGACTGAAAATTCCACGAACTGTAAGTGAAATAAACCTTTCCTTCCTTAATTTTGGGCATCAGGTATTTTGTCCCAGCAGTGAGAGAAAAGTAACTAAGATATCCCCCAAACTCAAGTCTGCCTCCTCAGTGATAATTGTAGGGTTTCATGTGTCCCTTAAATAATACTCATTTAGATCCCTCTCCAGAATGCACACATGATATTTCTTTCTTCCTGAAGAGCGCTTTAAATATTTTTGTTGAACAATGACACAAGACTTTACATAGTACAGGAACGCTATTGATTTTTGAGTGTTGATTTTGTATCCTTCTACACTACTGGATTTGGTTATTCACTCTACAAGTCTCTTGGTGGAATTTTTGGGGTCTTCTATGTAGAGTATTGTCATCTGCAAATAATGATATTTTAACTTCTTCCTTTCCTAGCCTCATCCCTTTTGTTTATTCATTTTTATTATATAATTGCTCTGCTAATGTTTCCAGAACCTGGAAGAGTAAATAAGGACCAAAATGTATAACAGATATTATGAAATAGGAAGAAATTGCTCAGAAGGAAAGAGAAACTAAGGAGGGCAAAGCGGAAAGGAAGGAAGGGAAAAGAAAAAATACTAAAACAAGAAGGATAAGATGGAAACAAAGTTTTGTAACTAAGTAGGGGAAGAGGAGTTGAAGGGAGGGCAGAGGATTGGGAAAAAAAAGAGGAATCAAAATAGATCATATACAGGTACAAGTTCCTTGTGATGAGTATGATCATTATGTACATCTAAATTGTGCCAATAAACTTAAAACAAAAAGACTTTACTTTGGCCAACACCCTATCTGTCCTAAACTGGTAAGTCCTTCATGGAACATCCACATGAAAAATGTCAGCAAATGAAAGAAAGGAATGTTGTGCAAATGCATTTTAACCAGGTGGAACTCTTCTGATAAATTATGAAGTAAAAATAAAATACAATGACCTATCATTTTGGAAAAAATCTAGGAGGCCTTAGAAAATAATTAACGAACTGTTAGTCTCTGACACTAAAGTATAAAAGCCTGGTTGGGCGTAGAGGCCCATGCCCACAATCCCACCACTTGGGAGGCTGAGGCAGGAGGATCACTGTGAGTTTGAGGCCAGCCTGGGCTGAACTCAAAGTGAGTTCAAGGCCTGCCTGAACAACATATCGAAACCCTGTCTCATAAAAATAAAAAAACAAAAGCCTGGTTTTGGGGGGACTCAGGTTTTAAACTTATAGTCACTAAAAGCATTTCTTCTAAACAGCATTCAACACATTAGTCCTGTATCAGCAGCAGCTATATGTAATTAATACTTCATAAATATGTTGGATCATTAACTGATACTAGATGCTACACTTAAAAAGCTTATATTGAATTACTTTTTTACATATCTAAGTTGACTCTTGTCTAGCAGAAAGTAGTTTGAAAGGATGATAAGTTCTGTGTCAAGATTTCAAATTTAAATTTATCAGCGAGTCTGAAAACCATGAAGACTGCCCTCCACAAAACCCTCTCCCTTTGCTTTAGGATAACTGTTACTATCAAGGATACATCATGAATGAAAACGTTTCTGATGCCAGCATCAGCACATGTAGGGGCCTAAGGTAAGACTTTGTTAAGGTTTTATACAAACCAGTGATAATGGTGTGAGTTTAATGAATCTGAAGATCCTGAAGTATGATTATTTATACAATAAGTGAACATGAATTCTAAGGGGTAGAAAATTTTGAGATTGGAAGGACATTTCTCTTTGTTCTGGCACATGCCTTGCACACTTCTATTGCTTTAAGAATTGTTTTTATTTGTTTGCTGTTTTAAAAATGTAGCCTTTGAGACTTGGTATCAGAATCAGAGATTTTAGGGAAAAGAAGTACCTTTCTACCCTCTCCCCAGTTTGAATTCTTTCTACCTTGTCTTAGTCAGGGTCTATAGTGTGTGTTTCTGTCTGTTAATGACTTCCTGTGCATCTGTCTACAATAAGAATCTCTTGTAAAACTCAGACTTTATTATCTAATTTTCTTTCCCATATTTCCAGTTGGATACCATAAAGAATTTCCATATGAGTGTGCCTTAACCCAAACTAGCGATTATCTCACACATTTTTCCTGTTCTTTGCATTTTGGCCAATGGTACAAACAAATCACTTGCCCAATCCAGAGACCTACTTCCTGGAAGACTTCTTGTAGCCTCCCATTGTCAATCCCTGAACAAGACCTAGTGACGAAAGCTTCAAAATACTTCCCGAGAGTGCTCGCTACATTCTCTCTACCACCCTAACCTACTTCTACTACGTGCCCCTTTATGCAAGCTACTGCAAACAAATACACAGACACACTTGCAGTTCGTCTCCCTACATCTACTCTTGCTATCCTCCAATTCTGTGTGCTGAGTCTAGACTCCCTTCATATACTCTTGCACTTTTTTCTTTGTACTAATTATTTTTTGTAATTATATATGTTATTTACTATATAATTACACACCCCCTGATTATTTAATACATATCCATTTTTCTCATTTGAATCTCTACGAGGGGAAGGGGCAATGACTCGTTTTTACTCTGTCCTTGTTGTTGACTATTGAATAATGGGTGCTCACTGAAAATCATTTCAATGAGTCTTAGCCCAAGTTTTCAGCATAAGGAATAGAAAAGGGATGAATAATTCGTGTTTGATCACGTGCTTTGTATGTTATCGCTTTCAATCTTTACCATCATTATATTAGCAGGTACCATCATATGAATATCACAGGTAGAAAACCTTAATTTAAATAATTTTTCCTTTCATGGATAATAAGTAACAGGCTTAGGATTTTGGCATTTTTTGTGTGTGATTCCAAAATACATTCAATTTTCAGTGAACATTCAAATTAGACACCGGATGAAAATTGGAAAATTGCTGGGCTGGGACTGGAAATGGCTCTTGCTGTGGCCGAAGTGGCATGGTTGGCTGTATGATATTTCAATAGTCATTTCTCCTTAACAAGTCCTGTTCCTTTATTGTGAAAAGCAGCTTAGGTAATAGCATTTAAAGGCATTTTCAGCTGTATTTTTCCTTTTTTTTTTTTTTTTTTCTTTTTCTCTTTTTGAGACAGGGTCTCGCTATGCAGTTCAGGCCGGCCTTAAGATCACTTTGTAGCTCAGGCTGGTCTTGAACTTGTGACGATCCTCCTGTCTCAGCCTCCCAAGTGCTGGGATTACAGGCATACGCCATCATGCCCGGCTGTATTTTTCACTGTAGTCTATCACCATGAAATAAAACTGTTTTTGAATTGACCAGAAATTTTGTGAACTCATTTATGGACCTTATAAATCTGTACCACTCAAAAGTAAGAACATTTCCTCCAGAAGCTGAATTCTCATGTATTTCAGAGGCTACTTCAGTCAAGGAGACCAAAGGTATTTCATTGAGCCTTTGAGCTCCACACATCAGGATGAACAGGAGCACGCACTCTTCAAGGATGAGCCCAGCGATAACCAGGCTAACAGCAGCTGTGGGATGGAGGATGTGCTATGGGTACAAGGATTCCACCAGAATGTGGTCTCACCTGCCACAAGACTGGTTGTACGTACAGCTTTACTTTCTACTTGTGATCGTGTCTTTTATCTTCTCCTGGGTTCCATGCCTACCAGTGCAAGCGACTTACAGTTTTAGTCAGTGTCAAAATGAGTCAATTACAAAGACATCAATCATAAAATATTACTGTATATTGGAGGTTCACTTAACAAGTACTTACGGATGAACTATGTGAAAAGGTTGAAATGTTGCTAGAATGGAATACCTATCATCTAGGGCCAGGCAAGAGTCACAATATTCTGCAGCCTACAACGACCCACAGAAGTGTACAATTATTATTATTATTTTGAGATGACATATCCTACTGAATTTATGAATGTATTCAACAAATGTCCTTAAATGGCTTTCATGGGTTGTAGCAGTATAACGGTGGGCACGGTAGATGGGAGATCTACCTACAGGAACTTAGAATGTTCTTTCTTGTAAGAAATTCTCTTCCCGGTCACAGAAGAGAAATGCATGCAGCTTTTTATTTTAAACTGTTAAGTGTGTAATAAAATACCTTTGTCATTACTAGTTTTATTTCCTTCAGGATCTACTTCAAATCCAATCATCTCTTAAATAGTCTCAGAATAGTCTAAGGGCTGCTGAGAACTGTCCTGAATAAAAGTTCAGGGGTATGCTGTAGGTTTGTGTTCTACCAATGTTATCTAAGAACCCAGAAGAACCAGTCCTGGACACACACTGGCATAGGCCTCTTGTTCTTCTGTCTGAGCTCTTTGGGAACCCTGTGGAAATGCTCTTGCTTTGGTAACATGCCATGGTTTGGCTTTCTCCCACCTCACTACTGTTCCTCTACCTAAGTTCCTTGCTGTTACCCCTCCTCTGGCTCACCACTTAATGACATTGGAGGATTTAGAAAGCTCAATCCTGGCTCCTTCTCTTTGCTTTGTCTGCTTTACTATGTGTATCTTCAGCCATGGCCTCTCCCCTGAAGATCAGACAGCTATAATTAACTACTTATTTACGTAGCCATTTAAATTCCAATATCACAAACATAACATGGTAAACCAGAACTAACAATTTTTGAGCCCCAAACAATAGCTGCTTTTCTCTCACTCTTCCCATCTCAGTTAATACTACCACAGATCATCTTTTGTTGAAGTCTGTATCTGGAAATTACCTTAACTCCTCTTTCTTCAACTGCATTTGTAGGGTAGCTATCACGATGTGCTTTGATCTTCACTTTGCTTTCTTTTCTGATGGCCCCAGGTACCATCCCACAATCACCATGGCAACAGCCTCTACTTAACCTTCCTGCTCTCCTTACCACCTTAGCAGGGCCACTTACTGTAAAATAGGTTAGCTGGTGGCCTTTATTGTAAATCATACTACATCCCCTTTCTCATCAAAGCCCTTTGATGACTTTCCACTCCAATTAATAAAAGCCAAATCATTCATTATGGAATATAAATCCTTGTATGATTAGGGATAGGTCATCTTCTCTAGTCTACATGTCACACATACTAAATATCCTTTCTGTTATTTTTGACAGCAACAAACTCTTTTTATCTGTGTTTCAAATATACCAATACAATTTACCTTAGAGTCTTTTACTAATTGTTTTCTTTGCTGGAGTATCATCGCTCCCCTGAGTTCTCA